AAAATCATGGATGTGACTCGATAATAAAATGCTGATCATAAAATGCATAATTCCAGTCGTGAAATCTGATTAGCGATGTTTGGCGCCATTGTAAAATACTTGATCATGCACACACTTATGAGCTCACACATCAGCTGAGTTCTGTATTAATGCACCAAGATATTAATAAGTGTTCCTTGTTTGCATTGTGGAATGCAGTGCTGATAGGTGGGGCCAGGCATCAGCGTGTATATGAAGTAAACAGCACCAACTATTTTAACATACCCTACATAAGAACCTGCTTTTAACCTGCGTTTAATCTGAGGGGCTGACGACTGAAGTATGTTTATGATTGTGACCAAAAAAGGAATAAGAGGAATATACATTGATGAACTACTAGAAGTGTTAAACTGATATTTATACTCATTGCCAGCCTAAAGTAAAACATAAATGTAACGACTGGGGCAGCTTTAGCTGTGCATACCTCAGTAGTTCTCGAAAGCTTTCACCATCCACCACTTCCTGCTCTATAATTCTGCTTACCCGTTGGTGATTTCCTAATAACGCAATGCACTTTCTCTCAGAGAACATGGATAAAGTAGTCTTAGTAATAGTCTAAAAAGTAGTCTAATCAGTCTTATTGCTTGTGGATGTTTGCTTTTGGTGCGGTATAGTGTTGTAGTTTTGCACTCTCAAAACACTGCTATTTTAAGCTGCGCTCTTCATTTTTTATTAGGCCTAAGCCAATGACCTATTGCACCGTCATGCTTTCAGTTCAAAAACTAAATGATAAACCTGCCACTTCAAGTAGGAACTGTTGTTTATTGTAAAGGAAATAAAATAAATTCACATTTTTTTAACCAAGAGGTTGAATAATAGGGAGGGTGAGGAGCATTAGGCTGCAGGATACCTTACCTATCAAGAGAAGTCTGAGTAGAAAGAGGATGTGTTTGTTGTCTTTCTCTCTTCCTTCTTCCCTTTCTCGCTCTCTCTCTCTCTGTCTCACAACAATCTGTGGAAGCGTGGCATTCCAGGAAGTTGTCAGACTGAGTTCTAAACAGACGGTCTTTGCTGAATAAAATTTACACAGAGCCGTCAGCATTTTGTTTCAAGCGCTCATGCGTCATCCAGACTCCTGCTCTCTCCACTCTTAATGCTGCAGGATTTTGGTCATTTGAGGGGGATAATAAATCCTGCCTGCAGCTTTGAGGTGACTGCAGTGTGAGTCAGGGAATAAACGGGCCCTCACCTGCCTGACCCACAGCCAGGCCTGTACAAATATCTGCTGAACAGATGTAGTTTCAGATGAATTTGCAAGGTGCTAAAATGTTAAGCATTTGAGGCATCCATTCACTGAGGAAAAAAGTGCTCTGCTCTTTTTTTTTTCTTTAAATGTGCATTTTCTATGGTGGAGGTTCTTGTAAGATCATTTCAAAACAAAGGCAGGAAAGGATGTGAAAGTAGGTCAAAAAGCTAACCAGCCTCACTGATCGTCCTCCTGATATTGAAATTATTCAAATTCATCTTAGTATTTGTTTACTTAGAGGGAAATTCCATCAATTTTTCTTGTCAAGGTGTTAAGAAAGTCATTCAGAGTGGTTTGATGTGAAATGGTTCATTGTACAGAAACTTACCAACTCAGATTTCTTTACAGTGGTGGTGATAGGAACCAAGAGTCAAAACACAGATATAGCCATTTTATTTACCAAGAATAAAAAATAAAAGTTTTGAGTACTGTTTTGCCTTAAAAATCGTAAAACAGTCTCTCCGCCATCAGACAACATATTCATGTAAAAGCTTTCTGGGAGCTTTTAGAGGCATTAAACTCTTTAGTCGTTTGGTTCCTATCACCACTACTATGGACCATTCTGACTGGTTTCTCTAGAATAGCGCATATCAAACTACTCTGAATGACTTTGTTTACATTTTGATTGAATTAAGCAGAAATTTAAAAAAAACAAAAACAAAAAAACAGAGATATATATATATATATATATATATATATATATATATATATATATATATATATATATATATATATATCTTTTTTTTTACTGTTTTGTTTGAGTTATTGTTCTGTAGAAAACTAGTACCATCAGTCACTTGTAACTAAATCACACACACCTAAAATTCAAAGACAAATCACTAAATCAAATGAATCATCATGTACAAATCAATTTTTCTGCTAGCTGCACATAATGAAGGAATGTTAAATAGGGATACTTATCTACCACATATTATTAGTCCAAGTTAACCAACAGCTGTGGCCTGACCGGGGTGCATAATGTAAACAATAATCAGTATAGTCAGTATCGCAGTTTCAGACTTAGACATAGGCAACATAGGCTAACCGTTGCCTCACAAACACATTTGCATGCTGTAGCTTAAGGCTACACTCAACAGAAGCAACATGATGTTTTAAAGTCAGTTGAGCTACTTTAGTAGTTCTGTAGACTACATGTAGGATGGTTTAATCTCTGCTCTTTCCCTTTAACAACTGAAATTAAATGAACTTTTTCAACAACATTGGTTGAACATTTATGTATTTGTCGGTTCAAAGTTATTTGATTAATAATAAGTCCCTCGTATTAAACCTCTGTTTATTAAACCTACTGTTAGTTTATAAATGTGGATATTCAACCAGCAAAATGGTTAAATTGATGATATCTTCCTTGTACAGATCCACATCCAGAGGACAGAGGGCTGTGATCACATGACCTGCACCCAGTGCAACACCAACTTCTGTTACCGCTGTGGGGAGAAATATCGCCACCTGCGCTTCTTTGGGGACCACACCTCCAACCTGAGTGTGTTTGGCTGCAAGTACCGCTACCTGCCTGATAAACCACACTTGCGCCGGCTGGTCCGGGGCTCAGTCTGTGGTTAGTCTGCTTCGCTACTCTACTCTCAACATGGTTTTCCCTTTTCTTTACTCACTATCCAGTTTCTGATTATGATGGGATTATTTGTAATGCTCATTCATAACTATTTGTTTTAATTTACTGTTTACATCATTAGCATTGTGCGACAGAATTATTCCTTTAAAACTAAGATTAAGATTAGGCACAATTGCCCTTAAACTTCAGCCTGGAACATAAAACTGTAGATTAGTGGACCTAAAGGGTCTAGAATTGGAATGTGGACTGAGGAGATGACAATACTGATACTGATTTTATAGGAGCTAAAAATGTAACAGATAATGTTGGCTGATATTATTTTAAATGTAATCTTAAATTTAAATTTTATATTCTAATAATTTTGGTGATACAGTGCTTTACAGACTGATATGTTTGCCAGTTCTAAACTAACACACGTTTTAAACACACAGTCTAAAATAATATAAATATTGAAGCACCAGTGGCGGAGAATTTGTGTGTGGTTTTTGTGTCTGTTGATTGCCCTTTTTATTTTTCTTGTTTTTTATTAGTTGCCTGTTTTTTATTAGTTGTCTTCTTGAAGTTTTTTGTGTGTAATAATATTGTTATTCTTATGTTAAAACTTAGATTTGGATGCATTGAACCTGTTTTGGTCATACTAAGCATGATGGTGTTTATCAGTTTAGCCTATTATGCCTTGATTTTTTTTCAGACTGAGTATGAGTACATATTTGTAATTAGTCGCTGATACAGATTATAATACCATACTGAGTAACTTACTTAGAGTTAGGTAGTTGTTAACATAAGTGAGTGCAATATACCCTAACAGACAAATCATTAAATCTAGCTGATTTTAAATGAGGTGCATTAGCTAGCTATGCTACATTAGTTATCTTGGATCGAGTAGCATTGCAGTGGAGAAGAGTGGGTTTTGTTCCATGTCAGACAAGCACTTCTGTACAGCTGTAAGTAAAGTACGTTTCATAGTTTTTTTCAGTTAATTCAGTGTAGCACAGTGACAACAGGAATCACTTCTGAGGCTAAAGCATCGGAGAAGCTCACTAATGGAGTTTTTTGTCTTTTTGGACTCCTCTAGTTGAGCCAGGCATACACTATGTGAGTTTGGAAATATTGTTAGCCTCTGTATCTCCACCCGTGGTTGTGATTGTGTTTTGAAAACGAGCTGAAATAACACCGTGTATGTCTGGCAGGAATTCGCCAAGGTAGAAAGTGACCTTTGTGTCCAACTGCCATGGCGTCAGCACTTGTCTATGAGAGGAGACCTTCGTTCACTGCCAGCTTGGGTCATTTGTTCATTAGCGTGGCAGCATACACTGTCAGCTTATGTCACATGGTATTAGCTGGCATCAATTAGTATTGGTGCGTTTTTATGAGGTTAAGAACGAGTAAATGAGCACAGTATCTGGTCGATACCTGATACTAGTATCAGCATTGATGCATGCTCACTCTTATAGTGTTCCACTGTGGAAGAGCCTTATAAGGTTTCGTTTTCTTGGGAGTTAGAATCCGGGCTGTTCTGCCAAAAATATATGGTGAGTATCAGAAACATTTTTGCTAATACCGATAAAACTGTGGGTCATGATTATCAACCAATATTGTTAACTTAATGATATTTTATGTTCTGATTCATCAGTTCAGCCTTCAATTGCTATCTTATAGTTACTCTAGGATTATTCATATTGGGTTCCCAAGTGGCCATCTAAGGTTCGAATCCCAGCTTTACTGTGGGGGGAAAAGTTAGTACGTATTGGCATATATCAGTGCTCGTTACTTTGCTTCTCTAGAACTGTGAGTCATCAATATTCGCCGATTATCAGACAACAGATATATCAGCCAAGCCCTAATGACAGTGTATTGTGGTTGCAGAATATTATGAAACAGCTTCATTAAAGGTGATGCCCTCCCCAGACGGTGACTGTCCACACAGCATGCGTGCACAATTTAAGGCAGAAATCATTCATTCATAGTTGAAATGCATGGAAAGGGATGAGGAGGGTGCTCTTGCTGGACGGGTAACATTAATTAATTTTTGCTGTTTCACAGAATAGGTCAGTATTGTTTTGTCCTGTTTGCAAATGTTTGTGATAGCTACTAGTTAGCTTCACAGCAACTGTAGTGACAGTTTTGGTAACCCACTATCTAGCTAACGTTAATGTTCCTGTGTCATTGTTCACTCAAACGTTATGTCATGGTATTTGTCTGTACAACGTTTGCGAAGGGTTTTATGGCCATGCGTCCATGAATTTGGGGGGCGGAACTTCTGAAGGAGCACTGAAGGGAGGGGTGTGTTTATATCAATAATGGTTCTCCAGAATTGTATAGTGCTCCTTAAAAAAAAAAGAAGTGGTTCAGAGGTGTATAACTAAATGCTTGTAACTGTGTATTTTTTGCATTTTATTTTCTTTTTACACCATTTAAACACAGTTCTGTGAAAAAGTTTGAACAGTCCTGGTCAAATGATGTGTTGATTTTTTAAGAGATAATAAGTGAACACATCCTTTGCAGAGAAAACACTTAAATATGATGTTTTTCTGCTAATTATAGTGCACAATTTCTCTTTATTTAACATACAGGGAAAATAAAACAAAATCTAATGAGCACAGGCCAAACTTTTGCATACGACTGGATGCCAGCTGCTCTTTACTGTACATGAACGTTTCATGATGAATGGACCAATATAAATTTTCCAAGATGACTAGGAATAAAATCTTGTCACATTAAAGTGCATTAAAGAAGAGCTAGTTTTTCCCTCTCCTGTAGAGTTACCATTTCGGAGATATGCGTCTTTGTAATGGTATGTGTTTAGTTTTTACATTGCTGAGTTCTTCCATGTTTGGAAAAAGCTCTGTTTGAAAACCCTGAAGGCTTCTTTCACGTGTGTAAACCTGTCCTGTTTAGCGTCAGTTATGGGGAATCTCCCTTGTGGTATTGCTCAACCCCCCCCATGAATCACTGGAATGGACCGCAGTAGGCCTGTTGCTGTACATGTGATCCAATTCGATTTGATTTAAAAATGCTGAACCTGTCTTTTGGGTTTTGTTTTTGTGCATTCGCACTAATGTGAACTCTGATCAAAACAAAAGAACACTGTTGCTCAGCTAAGGCAGCTGAGAGAGCTATGCAGATGAAGCTGGTCAGTGCTAGTAGTTATCTCTCTGTTAAGCCTGTTAGGAAAAACCTTCTGATGCAGCATTGGCTGCAGTACAGAGAAGGGCTGAACTCCCAGCCTTGTGATGATGGTTTGCATGCAGTATCTGTGCTCTGTGGAGAAGACTGATGTATCTTACATGGCTGGCTCTCTGTATGTGCTTATGTTTGCATGATATCTGTGATGTGAAACTGAACCTTCTCACACAGCAGAATCTACACTCACTGAGCACTTTATTAGGCACACTAAACTTGTTTCTACACTCATTGTCCAGTTTATCAGCTCCACTTGCCATATAGGAGCACTTTGTAGTTCTTACAATTACAGACGTTAGTCCATCTGTTTCTTTGCATAATTTGTTATCCCACATTTACCCCTTTCATCAATAGTCAGGACTCCCACAGGTCCACAGAGCAGGTATTATTTGGGTGGTGGATCATTCTCAGCACTGCAGTAACCCTGACGTGGTGGTGGTGGTGTGTTGCACTGGTAAAGTGGATCAGACACAGCAGTGCTGCTGGAGTTCAGTGTCCTTGCTGGACTGAGAACAGTCCACCAACCAAAAATATCCAGTCAACAGTGTCTGCTACTATTATTATTGTTGTTTACAGTTTCTCTGCATGTGTTCTAATCATAGTTCTACTCTAATTATAATCACATTACCATAAAAACAGTATTTTATCCTGATTTCTACCATTTTTGCATATTCATCATCTTCAGTTGTTTCAGATCTTTAAGCAACATTTAGTATAAGAAAAGACACCCAGAGAGAACACAAAATAGACTTTTTATTTTGTGTTTTTTTAATGATCATTTTCATTTACTGAAGGGGAACAAAAGGTGTCCAACACTAGCCAACTGTTTGAATAGGAACTGCCCTACTCACTTGACCAATTAACCAGATTTAGTGGATAATTGGGAATCAGTTAAACTAGACACACACAGGCTTGATTACTTCCAGTCCTATTGAATCTAAACCTCACTTAAATATAACCTTAAAGGCACATGTCAGGATCCAAACCTCATAGGCCAAAACACTGTAGACTTAAGCATACTGTCAGATTAAACACATCTGATTCAGCTGATCAGCTAATTAGCAAGGCCTTCTTGAACTGAATTCAGAGTATATGATGAGGGTAAACACTAATCTCCACTGCACTTTGGCCTGGAAGGTCACCAGTTTAACATGCCTGCTTTAAGGCACGTAAAGTTGGCTAACAGGTCTCAACAAGCAGTGATCGAAAAAAATTCCCAAAGAGATGAGAAAGTTATTGAAACATATCAGTCTGGAAAGGTTTACAAAGCCTTTTCTAAGACTCTAGGACTCCAGCGAGCCACAGCTATTATGACGAAATGGAGAAAACTTAGAACAGTGATGATTCTTCCCAGAAGTGGCCGGCCTACAAAAATTCTTCCAAGAGCAAAGCGACGACTCATCCAGGAAGTCGTAAAACAACCCAGATGAACATGTAAGCATTTGTGGGCCTTGCTGTCCTCAGATAAGGCGAAGAGGAAAACACTGCTAACCAAGGGGGATATAAATGCTTGTCTTACATTAGCCAAAAAAAACATTGATGACCCTCAAGCCTTTTGGAATAATGCTTTGTGGAGTCCAAAGTGGACATTTTTGGAAGATAGCGGTGCCATAAAGCTAACGCAACATTCAACAATAAGGACCTTATACCCCAGTAATTAAACATGGTGGTGGTAGTGTGATGGTGTGGGGACGACTTGCCATAATTGACGTGACCATGAATTCTGCTTTCTATCAGAAAATCCTGAGGAAGAACGTCCGGTCATCAGTCTGTGATCGAATGCAATTAGATCACTCAGCAACACAACAATCAGAAGCACTGGAGCAAGTCCATGTTTGGATCAAAAGAAACAAAATTGCGGTTTTGGAGTAGCCAATTAAAAGTCTTGACTTGAACCCCATTGAAGTGTTGTGGCAGGATCTTGAATAGGCAGCTCTTGCTCAGAGCCCTGCAGTGGTTCTCAGTTAAAGCAATTCTGCAAAGAAGATTGGGCCAAAATTCCTCCACAGCGATGTGAAAGACTGATCTTCAGTTATAACAAGGGATTCGTTGCAATCGTTGCTGCTAAAGGTGGCACAACCAGTTATAAAATTAATTGTGCACATGGGTGATACAAATATTTTACTTCAATAAATAAGCCCTCCTTGTTTCATATTACATTTTGTATGAAGATCTGAAACCATTTAGTGTGCGACAACTATACAAAAAGCCAATTGTGTGTTTGATGCAAAAATTTGCCAATTCCAACGTTGGCAGATTCTGACTGTGCATGCCTAACGATGGAAGAGTTTCACTCTAAAATGCTGCATGTTTATTTGTGATGAAAAGAGAAACAGCTGACATATTGCACACACCATCAAAATGCATTTTTATTTCACTAATAAAGGTGATTTTAATCACATTGTGTCTTGTGTGTGTAAAGCCCACTCCCAACAATGAACATTATTAAAAAAAAATCACGGAAGTGGCATTTAAAGTGTTGTGGAATTAAGCTCTTCAATTATAATTATTCCATTTTTTGATGATGCTTGTAGTTTTTCATTGTTCTGGAACTGTTATGAAAATATTAGGGCTGAAACAGTTATTCAGCATTATTGATAATGTTGACAGAAAAAAATTGTCAACAAATATTTCTACTGTTGTTTTTTATTTGGCAAGTAGGAAGCCGACTTCATAGTAAACGGCACCTTCCCCTCCATGCCAGTGTTCCGACAAGCCAAATTCCCCCAAACTGTTAACTGTTATCATGCAACACACACATTCACACCTAGGGGCAGTGCAGCATCTCCAGTCAGCCTGTCTGCATGTCTTTGGACGGTGGAAGGACCCCACACAGACACAGGGAGAACATGCAAACTCCACACAGAAAGGGCCCTGGTTGCCCAGCCGGGGAATCAAACCCAGGCCCTTGTAGCAGTATTTAGCCTGTCACAGCTTTACATGAATTAGCTTGCTAACTGCGTACAACTGTAATTGGCTTAAAATGCAGCTCATTTTGTAAACATTGCTTTCATGTGAAAAGTGCTCATCCTGTCAACTTACACACAGCTCGTCTAATGAACCAGCAAAGTGAACAACATTAATGTACATATTTATTATATTATATCTCACAGCTGTTGATTACTACTTGGTGCAACTCAGAATTATGTGCAGGCCTAAACAAAGTGCCATGTTTTTTTGCTACCCTAGATAGGACATCATCATATTGTCCAACCCTAATGTCAGTATAAGGCTGTTTAAAATCTGGAACACTGCTGGATTAATGTTTCTAGTGATTGTGATAATGATAATGAATCCCCTCGTCATATTTGCAGCTTATTTTTGGGACACTGCCAGGTTCAGTGTGTTCATACGTATCAGGAAAATCCCGCAAACACAGGATGTGATGTTACGTGTGCTGCAGAACATGCTTTGTTTAGGACAGTAGTGGGTCGACAGCTCTCTTTGGAGTGTGTTATTAATTTACAGCATGTTTTGCAGACAGATGATGTTCTTACGTAGAATATCAGGCTCAAGAAGTATTTGTGGTATTATTATAAAAAAGCTTATAATAAACATTCCTATAAAACTTACACTTATTTGGTTTAAATCTCCTGGGATGAAGCAGGTTGCAGGACAAATGTCATTACAACATCAGCCCCTTACCGACAATGTTCTGGCTTTTCTGCATGCTTAGTCTACCAGGAACATTGCCAGGAATTTTACAAAGTCAACTTTTCCCAGCATTTAGGCCCTGACTCCCACTCCCACATAGTAACCCCGTCACAGGAAACTTGCCTATAGGAGTTATAGACACCTAACTCACATCTGCGACTGTTCTATCTTAGAGCTACGTAATATGGACAAAACGCTAATATTGTGATTATATTGCTGAATATTTTGGTTGTGATACACTGACAATATATTAAAAATATACTGGTCAAATGGTAATGTAACATAGTTAAAGATTAGCTGAACTTATTTACTTTTGCTGGATTTTGTGCTGGAGGAAAAGAAAAAAGAAAGTATGATTGGTTATTGGGTTCATTTGCGTATTCAAACCTTCTGTGATGTCACTATTGTATGATCATGATGATACAATTGTTCATAAAAACATTTGATGCCTGGTCAAATTATGTGTTTTGGTGATTTTCTAAGTCAAAATAAGTAACACATCCTCTACAGAGAACACGCAGTTTAATGCACAGTTACTGCTTATTTACTGAATTTAATATATTGTGAAAAAAGCATAAGTTGTGGCCTGTGCAAAAGTTATGGCACATTTTAATTTGTATGTTAATATATATTTTATGTTAAACTCAGCAAATTACTAGAAATGGTTCACTACATTTGGCAGAAAATGGCATAGTTTGTTCCCTGTAGAGAGTAAACTTATTTTCCCTTAGAAAATTAACAAAACGTAAGTTGACCAAGGTTCTCAGTTTTGCATGCGACTGTATATACAGTGCTATGCAGGTCTTAGGCGCTTAAGCAAATTGCTTAAAGCTATTTACCTCAACAGGAAGTGAGTCTACTTGTGAAAACACTATATAATGTTAGATTAAATGCAAACTGCCGTTATACTATGTAAATATTGATGTAGTAACAAGATCTTCTTGTTTTCCTAGACAGTAGCCCCAGCCATCACATAGACTCCATCACCAGCACTTAATTATTTAAGGATTGATTAAACTAAAGGTTAGAATATTAGCCAAAATCTAGGTTTTTGGATGAGGAGAGGTGTGGAAATGGTTAAATGAACACATTCGTGTAAAATCATTGGTTATTAATGTTATTTGTATTTATTCTAGTATCACTGTAGTATTTGTGTATTCTGAGCAAATAAACATTTACTGCCTAGTTAGATAATTATTTGCATTTTAAATATCATTTTCTCATCTTTTCTCATTTCTTTGAACAGTACTCTCTGTATGTAGATGATTCCTCCTCTGTAATATCTCTGAACTAAACCAGGCTCTGAGCCTTTTGTGTTAGAGCTTGTTAACCCTGATTTCACACTGATCTGCATGCATCTTTGTGTTGTTGATTCTGCAGTGAGTAAAGTGCTGGTGGCTCCAGTGGTCATCGTCTTGGTGGTGATAGTTGGCGCCTTGGCTCTCGTCATAGGTAAGAGCTCTCTGTTCCATCTTTCAGCAGATTTATGGATCATTCTATTAAATACTATTAAATAGAGCATTATATCAAATAAATCAAATATTTATTTACCGTGGGCCTCTATTTACACTGATTTGTGTGTTTCATGTGAATTGTGTTTACATTATTGTTATACATGGCTGTTCCTCTATGAGAATTTGGAGTATGCTGTGGCTAAGCATAGGGCCCAGCGTTTAGATTGTTTAGATGTTATTGCACAACTTTCTAACAACACTTTTTGTTCAAACAATGCAGCTGCATTCAGTGGCATAATAGCATGTCTATTTTCCGTGATGCATGTTTTACCACACTGTTTTACTGTCACTGTTTTACCACAGCATTTTGCATTCCAGCTGTTTGCTGGTGTTAAGGTGTGGTTAAACTATTATTAAACAAAGTTTCACAAATCTGAATAATCACATACATACAGTACAGCATTATATTTATCTGTCCTTCACTGTTGGTGGTTTCTGCAGGTCTATTTGCTTTCCCCATCTACTACATCTGTAAGAAGCGCAGAAAACACTCCAATGGGTCCGGACGGTGGCTGTGCTGAGGCTGAACCTCATCTTGCTTCCTCTCTCACTCACACAAACACATACAGAGAGCGCTCCGTGTGCCAGGACACCAGCCACAGTGGGAGGAATAATCACAGTGTGAGCTTACTGAACTGCAGCCCATGCAAAACAAAGTCTACATGGATGCTCTCCATCTGTTCCCTTCCCCGTCGCACGCTCGGTCTTGTGCTCCAGCCGTGGTGCCATGCCATGATGTCTTGGCAGAGCAGGAGAGGGAGAGCAGCCACAGACGTTACTCTGCTGAGGATTTTTTCGGCACGGATTTTTAAAATCATTCAGTTTACAAATATACAAATAGTTACTATAGAGGGGACTGTTGCTATATTAAGTGTAGAATGATGTTCATACACAATAATATAAGTAATTTTAGTCTTTTTAGCCTGGTCTATTTATGAAAATGCTTTTAAGGAACGCTCCAGTGTTTTTCAGCGTAACCTTTATCTACTGCATCTGTAGCGTACAGTCGATTACCATGAACAATTCCAATATTTCCCCATGGGGATGTGTAAAGTATTCTGTCTGTACAGTTCGTCAGTCTGACAGTCTGTCTGTCAGTCTGTCCAGCAGTCAATCAATAATAGGCCTGTTACAAAAATGAATTTTAGCGGAAGATTAATTGCCATATAAATAATTGTGATTATCCATATAACTGTATTTTTTTCCTTGTATCCAACTATTAAATGACAAGCCTAATTGGCTGATTAGCTCTCTTGCTTTCTAGCTGTGAATACTTAATAGCTCCCAACTGAAGACAGACACAACTTGAGATCAAATAAACAAACATTACTCACCGCCGCCCTCTAAAGCTGTTATTAACGAACGTGATTAGATGCTTTGTCAGATTAGCCATTGAGTTTACAGGGCTTTCTGCGGTCAGGCTGTGCTGGTCAAATTCACTGTCAAAATTGGACTGTCAGCTGACGCAGGTAGCACAAGTGCAGACAGAAAATCTATATAGAAGAAGTTTATATGCATAGCGCAAAATTTGTATTGTTCTTTTAGAAACATACGAGTAGCACAAGAAACAAAATTTTTATGAAGTCAAGTACTGTAATGCTGCTTTTGTTACAGGAAAATGTAGTTACATTACTGTAATGGGTTACTTTGCACTGCATTACCCCAACATTCATGGTAATCGATGGTATGATTCAGCTGCAGCAGGTGGGGATTATGTTAACAAATACCGGAGTCCTTCTTTAAGTGGATGTGTATGGGTTTGTGTGTGTGAATTCAGGGATTTGATAGGGGTAAGTATGAATTCAGTCCTGTCCCTCCCTTCTCCCCCCCCAGACACCCCACAAACTAGCACACTGTGCCAACATCCACTGGAATTTGCATCATCAACAAAAGCTTGAGTGTGTCTGCACTGAGGAGAGCAGCTGCAGCGTTGCAGGGGTAGCTGTAGATCCATGCCAATTTAACATGTGATGCACCATCACTGCTGACTTTCTGTCTTGCAGATTATTACCATGCCATCTATTTGTCAAAACTGATATGCATCTACCTTGTCAACCTGCATGCACCTGAAGGAGCTACTGCGTACATATATACATAAGAACATTGTATTTTTATAGATATAATACCTTCATTTCAGGCCCATCTGGTGCACATTTCACCATTTACCTCTGGTGTGTATGAGCTTTGCACACAAGGTTACATATCTGGAGCTTTTGCACCAGTCATATACATTAATACTGTCACTGTCCCATGCATATCTTAGATTCACATACAGCGTTGGGTTCTGTGATCAGCCACCACATATGGTTTGTGAATATTGTGCATTTAAGTTACTTTTTGATCTTAAGCACTCTGGATAAGTGTATGACGACGACTATCAAAAATGTGCGCCTTATTGGTTGAGACAGTCAGTCATAAAGGCCAACAAATGAAGACAATCATGCATATAGACACGTTCAGGCAGAAAGTGTTCGTCACTGTTTTTCTCAGGGAGTGTTTGGACTTTCACACACTGCTCTCTCACTCCTGTGAAGTAGGATTGTGTTTGTCAGGTTTATTTTTAATTACGTTTCGTAATTTTTTTCTTTCAAAAATCATTGGGCCTCATTCACTGTTCTTAAGAAGAAAAGTCCCACTTGTGCAGTTTTCACAAAGGTTCTGACATTCACCAGTGTTTTCTTATTTGGGCTTTGTTCTTAGGTAAGAACAGAATCTACACACACTCAAGAGCACAAAGGTGCGAACAATTTTGCAGTTAAAGAACATGTCATGCATCTGTTGTAGACTTTTTCTTAGGACATTTCTCAAGAACACATTAAAGCTGAAAGATATTGGTAAATAAGGCCCATTGATCTCAAGCAGGGGTGGACAAAGTGCAATACTCTGTACTTTAATGAAGTTGGATGTACTCTTGGTAAAGTACTATATATGTACAAGTATTCTTGAATGTATTTAAGTATAAAAAATAGTATTTTAAGTTATAATATTTTTATGAGCAGATTCTCTTAAGGAAATCTCTGGCTGCAGACATGAAAAACTTCGTCTGCATGACGACTGTGAATTTGTCATTTTATTAGAACAACAAAATATTATTTGAGATCTACAGTAACTCAAAGTACATTTGATGTTTAAAGGAGAATTCCTCCCATTTTTCAAAGTTTCTGTATAATTTAATCATTAAGATGTAAACAGTGTCATTTAGAATGGTTTGATGCGAAATGCATTGTTATAGAGAACCCTACAGAGACTAAATTGTTCACAGTGGTGGTGATGGGAACCAGAAATCTAAATGAGTTTAATGCCTCCAAAAGCTCCCTTACAGAAAGTTATTACATGAAATGATAATGTTTCCTGAAGTGTGAGACATTGTTTTACAATAGTTTTGATAAAGTTTTGGCCTAAAACCTATTTTTTAAAAATCTGTTTGTGGTGGAGGGATACATGCAGGTCTTTGTGAGGCAAAATAGTCCCCAAAGGATTTTTTTTTCTTCAGATTTACCACTATTTCATCAACATTACATTTAAAAACTCAATAGACACATGTTGGTTCACTGGTGGTTTTGGATAGTAAATAAAATGGCTGTTTGTGTAAATAATAGTAATAAGAATAGTAAATACAATATTTGTGTTGTAGACATGGTGACCCCTGGTTCCTGTCACCACCACTGTAAAGAAAAAGTCAGTAATTTTCTCTGGAATGGAGCATTTCACATCAGACCACTTTGAATGACTTTGCTTACATCTCAGTGATTGAACTATGCAGGAACTTTGGAAAAGTGGTGGAATCCCCCTTGAAGTACTTTAATACTTGCACTTTTTTCGAGCAGTATTTTACGAAGCGTACATGTACTTTTACTCCAACTCAAAAGTACTGTACTTCCTCCACCCTTGATCTAAACTGAGAAAAGATGCTTTGCACCAGAATTAGCAACTAGCCTGGGCAGGGAAACATAACATGAACACAAATTCAGGGGTGGAAAGTACTTGAGTAATTATATTTTGTTACAGTACTTAAAATTTACTTTGGAAGTCTTGTGATCTCAATTTCGGCTGTCGTGATTTACTACACAGGCGCAGTGGTGCTTTAGCGCCCATACAAACACCAAAGAGGCGGTCGCTGCTCTTTTGCACTTTTACCTGATTACATATGCATTTATTTATAGACGTTTCTCTCTCAAAGCGCTGGGAGGTGATCATTATAATGAAGCACCTACTTCCATTTACAAAGACTGATGGTAACACTGACTGTGCGCTGTTTATTTTTTGCACAAACATGGCTGCCATATAATTCTTAATTTGATGAAGGAAATAAATCTTGAAACCAGATAGTTTTAGAAAAATGTTTTAAACTGCTTTATCCTCATGATTTTTTTATGTCAAAACCAAAACAGCTTACAAAACCAAAGAGAAACGCTTAATGGTTTATATGGGTTTTTTCAGCAGGAGTTTGCGTCTACACTCCTTGCTTTACTAAAACTACTTACTTGTTATTCCTGCGTGTTCTGGTTTTTGTGGTTTAGTGCGTGGAAAAGTCAGCCATTGTTTAATGAACCATGCGTAGCAAGGGGTTTACGCTCAAAAATTATACAATTCCCAAACCACCTAAATGTGCTCAGTGAAGTTAAACAGGAATTTCACATGGTTTCCAAAATGTTTGGATTTTCTTTTATCTGCTTCAGTATGCTTGAATGTCTTTCACTTGTATGTTTTTGGCTCCATACTTCCCCTTTTTCTGAGAAAGAGTACTCGATGCATTCACTGAAGTACAGTTTTCTTGTACTTTTTCCACTCCTGTGCAAAATACACAATCAATACAGTACACGGTTGTATAGTTTTACCTGCCTACACGATTAGAAATGGAAAAAGGTCACAGTAGCCCATGAACATCCTGCTCTTTCAGTCTGCTGTCGGTGTGAGCCAAAGGCCCTGGTGGTGCCATTAGAGTGGTTTTACTGATGGATTCTCTGTTTATCCTTTCAACTTATTTTCCTTCCTCTTGTGCCTTTCACCATGTTGTAAATGGGTTTGGACTTTAATAGAGGAAACGTTTTTTAAATGTATGGTTGGAGTTTCCTTTTCTCTCTGTGTCACTTTCCAAAGAACTGCTGTACATACTGATTCAGATGACACTGTGGTTCGGGTATGAGACCACCTCACGATGCTTGTATTTTTATGAATGCGTTTCAGGAAAAAACACAATAGTACATCATGTTTGTACATCCCTGCACCCTACGATGCTTAATTCTGGACGCTGCTGCACTTTATCCTCGGACTTGGTCATGTTAATCCACTTTCGCAGACAGCAAATGTAACGTCTGTCTTTACTGTGTTGAATTGTGGATTAAATGGACCTGGGTGAAATGCCAGTATTTGTTCATTTCATTGCACGTGTCTAATAAGCACTCATATGTCTGGCACTGGCCTTCAGTGCCAATAATAAAAGGTCATCATACAAAGAAACAATGCTGTGCAAACACAGTAGCCTCCCTTGTTTTGTATGTTTGCTATGGTCACTGCCTGGCTGGTTGAATTGGTATTGCTTCATATTTGCGCATGTGCCAGGGTGGTGTAAATCTCTTGGGTGATGACCAAGCTGGAGTGGAATGGCTCTTCTGTGTTGCTGGCTTGTGGGAGCGGGACTTGGCCCTTGGCTCGTCTGGACCAGCAGCTGTGCTGCAGACTGATAAAATGATGCCATGTCACCCAGCTGGGGCGTGTACTTTTCGGGACTGTTTACATAGTATTTTAATTCCTTTTATTTGAACTGATGTGTGTTAAAATGTTTGCATAAAGCTATAGAATCTCTATAGAAAAGCATTGGCTGTGAAATAGGACGCTCTAGGGCAACCACACATGCACCGTCATGGTCATCATGCCCAGTGCCAAGTGTACTTCATAGGAGTGTGAAAGGTCACTGGCACTGGAGTGTTGAGCGGTGAAAACAAGTTCTCTGAAGTTATAGGTCTCCACTGAACACCTTTAAGATAAATTGGAGTGATAAAGCTCCATTAAACACCTTAGAGATGAAACTTTGTCACTCCAACTCTGTCCAAAGGTGTTCAAGTGATGAAACTGCTGAGCCCCTTTGGCATACGTATGAGTAATGAACTGCCATTGAATATCTTTGGGATGAACTGGAGTGAGTAAGCTGTATTGAACACCTGTGGACTAAGTAGAAAATATGAACCTTCATTAAACATCTTAGGTGTCAGAATGATGAGGCTCTGTTGGATGAGTTGAAATAACGAATCTCTGTTGAACCATGTTGGGATGAGTTGGAATGATAAAGTGCCACTGAACAAGTTTGGGATGGGTTGAAGTGACAAAACTTCATCAATCACTAATGGGATGAAATGGAATGATGAAAATCTATTGAGCACTTTTTGGAGTTGAACTGAACATCTTTAGGATGAGTTAAAGTGATGAGACATCACTGAACACCTTTGAGATGAGTTGGAATGATGAAACTCCATTCAACACCTTTTTAGATCAAACTTTATCACTCCAGCTCCCAAAAGTCATGAAGCCCTGCTGGACCCCTTTTTTGATAAGTATGAATGATGAACATCCATTAAACATCTTTGGGATGAGCTGGAATGACTAAATTCTATTGAACGCTTATGGGATGAGTAGAAATGACAAACCTTCATTAAACACCTTAGGGATGAGTCAGAATGATGAAGCTCTGTTGGACATATTTGGGATGAGTTGAAATGACAAAAATCTATTGAACACTTTTTGTAGTTGAGCGAATGAAGCTCCAGTGAACATCTTTAGAATTAATTTAATTGATGAGACTTCATTGAACATCTTTGGCATGAGTTGCAATGATGAAGCTCTATTAAACACCTTAGAGATGGAACTTTGTCGCCCTAACTCTTCCCAAAGGTGCTCAAGTGATGAAACTATGCTGAACCCCTGTGACATAAGTATGAATAATGAACCTCCAGTGAATATCTTTGGGATGACCTGGAATGATTAATCTATATTGAACTCTTATGGGATAAGTAGAAATAACGAACCTTCATTAAACCCCTTAGGGATGAGTCGGAATGATGAAGCTCTGTTGGACATCTTTGGGATAAGTTGGAGCGTTGAAGCTCTGTTGAACACCTTTGGGATGAGTTGAAATGATGAAGCTCTGCTGAACCACGTTGGGATGAGTTAGAATGATGAAGCACCACTGAACAAGTTTGGGATGAGTTGAAGTGATAAAGCTTCATCCATTGCTATTGGGGTGAGATGGCATGATGAACATCTATTGAGCACTTTTTGGAGTTGATCTGATGAAGCTTCACTGAACACCTTTAGGATGAGTTGCGGTGATGAGACTTCACTGAATATCTTTGGAATGAGTTGGAATGATGAAGCTCCATTCAACAGTGTTGGGATGAGTTAAAATAATAAAGTTCCACTGAACACCTTTTAGATAGAGCTTCTTTATTCCAACTCCTGAAGGTGTTCATGTGATGAAGCTCTGCAGAACCCCTTTGGGAAAAGTATGAACAATGAACATCCATTGAACACCTTTGGGATAATTTGAAGTGAGGAAGCTTTGTTAAACACCTGTGGTGGTTAAGTTGGATTGATGAAGCTCCACTGAAAAGTTGGGATGAGTTGGAGTGATGAAGCTTCATTGGACACCTTTGTGATTAGTTGGCATGATAGAGCTCTGTTAAACACCATTGAGACACACCATTGAGAACTTTATCACTCTAAAGGTATTCAAGTGATGAAGCTCTGCTGAACCCTTTTGGGATGAGTTGGAATGATGAACCTCCATTGAGCACCTCCCCACTATTACCCTTGAATTTAGAGTAAATGCTGGATGAGCAGGTGTCTGAATACTTTTGGTCATACAGTGCACTTTCAGGGTTTTACCTTTAATGGAAACTTAATTTGATATTGGTGATCACCTCTTATTATTCGCTTGTTTGATCGGGCGGCACAAAAATAAAGGCTGAGTTTCCTCTTAGCACAACCCTCTTATTCACACCCTTCCCCCGCCAACAAGTCTCAGACAATAAAGTTTCTGGTGCGGTCAGTTTCCTGCCTGCCTTAGCACTTTATCAGATGGACTCTCTGGCTAAAGAGCAGCTTCCTGAGATGAGGTGTGGGCAGTGGGCCACAGCTTTCCCCTCAGCTGACTGACATGGACATCCTGTTGACACAGGCAGCTCAGCAATGCTACGTGTTCAGAGTGGCACTAAACTGAGCAGCATGTTACTGGCAGGACAGGGCAGCCTCACTGTTTATTCCTGAGCTGAGTATGCAAACTTTCCTCAGGGCTTTTTGGCTGCTGAAGGCTTTGCTCACACGTACGCACATCAGACATCCGCGTTCAGGCAGTTTGTGCTTCAGAAGTGTCCTCAGGCCCTGCAGCATAAACCAAAACTGAAAGTCCCATAGCTGGTTAAGCACCTTACAGAACGGCTCACTCACAGCCTTTTGAATTCTAAATCACCTCAGGTCCTGTAAGGCCGCCACACAGAAATAACACTTTAAAAAGCAGTAAATTCATACTGTCTTACTTATTCTGTAGTGTTTATTATAATTTTTTTGTAATATAGTATTGTGGTCATGTTTAACGCTAGATATGTACAACACTGTCCCCTGCTGGATAACCCTGTTATTGTTATGGGAGAATACAGAACTGACCTTCCAGTTCACATAGTCATTTGCAAAAGTTTGTGAAAGTTTTTTTTATTGGTTTTCTAAAAGAAATATCATGTCATATATGAGTGTGTGTTCTCTGTAGAAAATGTGCTAACATTTATTTACAGTTATTTGCATTTCCACAGACGCGTCATTTGACCGCTGGATTCAACTTTTTTGCCACAACAACCATAATAATAAGAATCAATTTTATGACTGATAGTGTTATCTTCAGCAGCTTCTAATAAGTTTCTAATTAAGTAAATGTTAATCACTTCAACAAATTACCCATTAAAAACTAGGAATACCATGTACTTACAATAATCTTAGGACCTCCAATGTGCACAAATATATCTTAGCTGATACTGAATATTATAAAACTTTAGTTATCCTCAGAGGAGAACTCTTTCACCAGATTGAAAATTAGGGGAAAAATAAATATTGTAATCAACAACGGTTCATTTTAAATATATTGAACGGTATTGGTGTATTTAACCACTGTACACACGTTACTGTAACCACAGGAATGGAATGACATAACAGGCTGCCTTGACATGCAGAGTTTGAGCTCCAGTCTGTGAGACTTTATCCTGCACATGTTCAACCTTTTCTTCTTCCAGCAGCAGGTGGCGCTGTTGTTGAAATGTACACAGTACTTTACCCCAGGCTCATTTTATACTAAGGCTTATTACTCAGTAACTACAATGACTCCAAAGCAAACTGACTGGGCTATTTTTAGGTATAAGTGTATAATAAAACTTTGGGCCCACCGGTGGGCCCTGGCCATGTAAGGTGTTAAACTGATTTCTAAAATCATCTCCTTGTGGATGAACTCTGAGGCTACAACTGCTGTTTATTGTTTTCCTCAAATGATCACTGAACCATGTTATATATGTATACTTTGTACACAGCTACAGTTAGATATTAGAGGAAGTTAATATCTTGAGTTAGATATTAGAGGAATGATTCACATTTATACAATTTCCCCTTACATTAAACTTAGCCTGTTGCCTATAATATGTTTGCTTCTATAATTTTGCACTAGAACTACAGTCGTCAAGTTACATGTTTTGTTGATTTTCTAAGTGAAAATAAATTGACACATCTGATACAGAGAACAAATTAATATGCACAATTTAATACATTTAGTGCACAGTTTAATGGAAAAAAATGTGCTATAACTTTTTGCCACAGGCCACATTTTGTATTTTTCCCCAATATGTTATAATAATATTATTATAATATAAAAATATTTCACTTAGAAAATCAACAAAACACATCACCTGACCAGGGCGCCCGAACCTTTGCACACAACTGTAAGAGGCCTAATGTAATAGACTGTGTTTGGAGTAAGGAGGAAATTGTGTACATATGATTTTTCAGTGAACTATTCCTTTAAGGCTGCTCTAATCTAAAATGGCCAATAGACTGTCCTCTGACTTTTGAGAGGAAATTAAAAGCTCCTCAATGTTGGGAACCGGACTGAGTTACCAGATGAGGAGAGGCTTGTAGCCTACATCATATTATTAATATTCAGCTTTCATTTGTGTGATAGATTAATGTATAATGCATGTTTTAATGACATTCCCCAACATGACCATACTACATAGTTCATGAATTTATTGATTTCATTTTAGCATTTATGATATTATTACTTGAGTGTCAGGGTGTCATACAATGTCGGTGTTGGTGTCACATCGCAAAGCTGTAAGAAAGTCAATGAAAGGGCCCATATCATGGAAAACTGACCTTCCCTGACTATTTTTTTTAGTAAAAAGTTTGAAGTAGTGTGAATATTGTTAAAGTTTCAAAATGTACCCCCTTAAATGGCCAGGTCCCACCACTGGGCCCAAAGTTTTATTACACAGTTCTATAACCTAAGAATAGGTCAATCGTTCACACTGGAGTCCCCATAGTTACTGAATAATAAGCCTTAGTATGTAATGTCTGGGATTTTAAGGGGTTAATTCCTGGGGATTAAAGAAAATGATCATGTAGAAATAAATTATGACCATTTATGATGCATAAAACTGGATCTCATGGGAAATAATAAAATACAATAAAGATATGAGCCCTTTAAGGTAAATTTTAGTGCTAGTTGTCTTAGTTAATGTATTTCTTCCTCTATCATAAGAACTGGGATTAGTAACCTTGAGACACAGAATTGCAGCTGCAATGGCAAGGTTTGACCAGAAGGAGGCAGCACATACTACTGCACTCAGTCAGTACTGGAGAAAGGTGTTCTTGGTTGCAATTGGTCCATGTCTGAGACCCCCGCCCACTTTGGTGGGAGGGGCTTAAACAGGGAAAACAGCTAGAATGCAATGGGGAAATGAAAGGACTTGGAAGTGGAGCTTCTACAGAACACACAGCTCTGCTGGATCTACAGGACTTAACTGAAAACAGTCACTCACTGCAGTGATGGAGCAAAGACAGCAAGGTCAGCTTTCTTTTAATGCTGTTCGTATGATTTGAGCTGTATTCCAGTAACTGTGGGCTTCTTTAACCACAGTCCATTCATATGGAAGGGAACAGTTATAGCAGTAAGGCTTTGGGCATTTATCATTTAAGGAGCTGATTTTGCAGGGAAGGTCAGTTTTTGCTGTACTTTTGTGATATTTTGTCTGATGTTGCCAGTTTTGTGCCAGGTTTGCCAGGCAATGTGGACTTGTTTATACCCCCAAAGCACATGTGCTTAACCAAAGGGCACAGGGTTGAGTTTTGTGTGGACCATGTAAACAGATTAGTGAGTACAGCTGGCTGCAGCCAGTGGTCATGTTAGGTAGGTTGAATTAGCTTTATCTGGGAAACCATATGACTGACCTAAGGCCACCCATTTTCACAGCCTACGTGACCACCCAAGCCAAAGTAATTAAAGTCCTGTGACTTAGTTATTCCAAGTAAATTGCTGTGAAAGAGTTAAGAGCCTGGCTACATTTGAAATGTCTTGGGACTTATTCCAGTCTGTGGGGAAGAGCCTGTCTGTGAGTTTGTGTTTGTGTTCATAACCTGCTTTTTCATTTCTCGTCCCATTTGGAAATGAAACTTCACAGAGCTGTATTCTAGTATTCTGACTCCAGAAGCGGGGGACTGGGGTAAGACCATGCTGTATGGTAAATGGGTTAGAGAAATAAAGCTCTCACTGCCTCCTGAGACTGAATATGATGCACCTGAAGTGTAGACAAGTGCAGGTCTGCCACACTCTTAAAAATAAAGTGGCCTTTGGAGCAATTTTGGTTCCCTTGGATGGTTCTTTAACTAATACTTTCTCTAAAGCAGTTGTGTGAGCGCGAAGAACTTTTTTATTGTTCAAAGAATCTGCACATAATGTAGGTTCTATAAATATTAATGATTTTTCCTAGAATTGTATCTTCTAGGATTCATTTAAAGGGCCCATATCATAGAAATCTGAATTTGTGTAGCTTTTTAAAGTAAGTTTGATGTGGTATTGAACTGCTAAAGTCGTCCTCTCCCCAGTCCATATATGAAAACTAAGCTTCAAAAACAGCATGTTCTGAATTTGTTGCTTTTACTGTAATGTCACAGAAATGCTTTCAGATATACCTGCCTATTCTGCATACAGCAGTTTAGCTCCACCCACTCACACATAAGGAGTATTTTAGCCTGGACTGCTTTTTGTATGAAAACAGGGCTGCCAATCAGAGCAAAGCTCATTCACATACTCTATATAGACAAAAGTATTGGGACACCCCTCCTAATTATTGAGTTCAGGTGTTTCGGTCACACCCATTGCTAACAAGTGGATAAAACTAAGCACATAGCCTCGCACTGGGAGTAGAACAGCTTGTACTGTTGCGCTCAGTGACTGTCATAGGATGCCACCTCTGCCGCAAGTCAGTTTGTGAAATGGGGGGTTGGTGGGGAGCGGTGTAAAGCACACTGTCACTGGACTCTGGAGCAGTAGAAATACATTCTGTGGAGTAATGAATCTGGCTGTCTGATGGACGAGTCTGGGTTTGGCGAATGATAGAAGAACGTTACCTGCCTGACTGCATTGTGCCAACTGTAAAGTTTGGTGGAGGAAGGATAATGCTATGGGGTTGTTTTCGGGGCCTAGGCCAACCCCTGAAAGGGAAATCTTAATGCTTCAGCAGACCAAGATATTTTGGACAATTGTAGGCTTCTAACCTCATGAAAACAGTTTGGGGTTGAGAACCCTTTCTGTTCCATCATGACTGTCTCCCAGTGCTCAAAGCAAGGTCCATAAAGGCATGGCTGGGTAAGTTTGTCGTGGAAGAACTTGACTGACCTGCACAGAGCCCTGACTTCAATGCCATCAAACAGCTTTGGGATGAACTAGAATGGGAGATTGTGAGCCAGGCCCTCTCGTCCAATATTAGTGTCTGACCTCACAAATGCTCTTCTGAATCAATGGGCAAAAATTTTCACAGACAAACTCCAAAATCTTGTAGAAAGCTTCCCAGAAGCATGGAAGCTGTTTCAGCTGCAAAGGGGGACCAATTTCATATTAATGCCTGAGGATTTAAAAAGGGATGTCATAAAAACTCCTGTGGGTATAATGTCTGGGTGTCTCAATACTTTTGTCCATTTAGTGTATGTCAGTTTTAAAGGTGCAGTAAAGAAATGGTATTGTAAAAATGAATTATAGCTGTTTTTAGTAAATAATCCCACACAAATTTGATAACTGGACCACAATTGAAAAAACATTCAAGTAAAATGGGCCCTTTAAAAACCTTTATTTTTAAGAGTGCATTCATACCCATCAATTGTTTAATAGTTGCTTCATGGGATTGTTCAGTAGAATATCAGATGGATGAATACCATAGGACATTCATCTCACAACACAGCATGACTTGCTTTTCTGAATCGGTGCCAAAGCCTTTAGCACATGCAGACTTAAAAGCTTGTGTAAACTGATTGGCAACTGGCCTATACATGCTCCGCCTACAAACACATTCATTACAACTGTTCAGAGGTTGTACAGAATATTAGCATTCCATTCAGCTTAATGAATGCATTGGAGGTTAGATTTACTGCCAGACGTGGCGTGATAACACTTTTTCTTTTACAATACTGATATTAAAACTATGAGAAAAAAACCAATACGGATCTTCTTTAAAGGCTACTAAGCTGTTTACAATTGAAGCGCTTTATTAAAGATGATCATCTGCAAAAGTCTTATCAAGTTGAAATTGCTGTTACTCTTCTACCTCACAGGAAGAATTTCACAGTGTGATTGAGCACTGTGTCAGGACAGATTTGTTACAGTATTAGATCAGCTTACGGTTCTGATACTAAATAATACCAATACACCATCTCTATTACATTTTTTCTGCATAGTTAAATGGTTAAGATGTACACAGAGTCAGGAAGGAACAACATAATGGTAAAGGTGAAGTTAAATTTAACCACTGTAGCTAGCAACTCTTTATGGTGACCAAGAGCTCAACCTGGCTACCCTGCATGTCACCCTCAGTGCTGCTTTTCATGATGAAAAACTAGCCAAAGAAAATAAATCAATAAAATAAAGACTTTAACAGCTGCGCAAAGTAAGTGAGCAGCTGGGCTTCAGCCTGACTGTTAATATACTGTTGCAGCCTACATGATATATTTTGAACTGCAGTAACAAACATGTTTAAACATTTTATTAATTATGAAATATTATTGTTTTTAAGGGTGATTACTGTTACTCTTCTACCCCACAGGAAGAATTTCACAGCTAACATTACATCCAAGCGTGCTTGAGCACTATTTCAGGACAGATTTGTTACAGTATTAGATCAGCTTACGGTTCTGAAGCTAAATAATACCAATACACCATCTCTGTTACATTTTTTTCTGCATAATTAAATGGTTAAGATGTACACAGAGTCAGTCAGAGTGGTTCGATGTGAAATGTTCCTTTTTAGAGAGTTATTAAGTCAAAATTGTTCACAGTAATGATGACAGGAACCAGACGTATGAAGTATTTAATACTGCTGAAAGCTTTCTCACAGAAAGTTATTAGATGAAATGGATATGAATATGCTGACTGGTGAATGAGATGTTCGTTTATGTTAGTTTTAAGAAGATTTTGATGTAGAGTGTACAAAGTGTCAAAGAGAAAGAGGTACATGCATGATGCTGTAAGATAACATAGTACCCAAAGAAAATGTATTCATATTTACCACTATTTTATCATGTTCAACACTACATATTAAATCTTTGATCTTTGAGTTGTAGACATTGTCACTCCTGGTTCCTATCACCACCAACTGTAGAGAAATCTGAGTTGGTAAGTTTCTCTACTATGAACCATTTCATGTCAGACGACTCTGAATGAATCTGTCCTAACAGTGTGATCTTTCACACATATACAAGATAAATATCATCATTTGAATGAATAACACACTTTGACTTTAAATATTTTAACAAAACTGAGACGCACTACAGTTTCTCATTAGGGCGTTTAATGTTAATGCTCTGTAAAGTTTGTCCAACCTAGAAACAGTAGCTGTGAACACGTGTGGGCGGAGCATGAATGTCAGTTTTTGACTGCTGCACAACATTGAGTGTAGAGTTTTACATGCTTATAGTTGCTGTTGTGCAAAAGGCTGCATGAGGAATGAAACCCTGATGTGTTTGAGGTCTCAAATAAACAGATGTAGAGTTTAAGTGCAGTAGTGACTGTAATGTTTCTCTGTTTGTTCCTGCAGATTTGCATGATGTGTAGAATCAGGCATGAGTGTAGATTGTATTTGTGCATGTACAAAGTTCAGTGGCGCTTGTCGTACGAGTATTCTGAAGTTCATTTTGTGTTTTTTTGCTTTTTTGCTATTCAAATGAAGATGAAGGACATCTCAGAGCAGGTAGGTGTTAGGGGCGGGTGCTATGAACTGAAATTTATATCATGATATTTGCCACTACTATGATAATGATCATGATGAAATTATTATTATTATTATTATTATTATTGTTATTATTATTATTATTATTATTATTATTATTAATGATAATAATAATAACAACATTTATTCCAGCACATACATGGCTTTGTAGTTTTCAGGTAGTGAAAAGGCTGCCGGTGCTTCTACTTTATCCACCATGAGGAACAACATAATGGTAAAGGTGAAGTTAAATTTAACCACTGTAGCCAGCAACTCTTTATGGTGACCAAGAGCTCAACCTGGCTACCCTGCATGTCACCCTCAGTGCTGCTTTCCTTGATGAAAAACTAGCCAAAGAAAATAAATCAATAAAATAAAGACTTTAACAGCTGCGCAAAGTAAGTGAGCAGCTGGGCTTCAGCCTGACTGTTAATATACTGTTGCAGCCTACAGGATATATTTTGAACTGCAGTAACAAACATGTTTAAACATTTTATTAATTATGAAATATTATTGTTTTTAAGGGTGATTTTGTCTTAAAGTATTTAATAGAGTGTTTGAGTACTTGTCTGGAAGTAGCAGTTGGTATTTG